TCGGCGTCTTCACCAAAGTCAGCCGGTGAGATAGGGCTTCCTTTTCCTCTTGGTTTTTGAAGCATGAAAAACTTATTGAATCCCTATGGGGTCCTATAAGATTCCTTGATTTTTGGGGGGGTTTTAAAATCCTGGGATTACAACCGAGATAACTACCAAATGGGATGACTACCGGAGTCAATGTTGGGCCTATATTGGCCTAAAAGGGTTCTAAAAGCATTACCGAGTAATAGTTTTCCCATGGATGGGCAGGAGCCATAGAATAATGCACGGTTTGATATACACTAATCATAGCTGGTGCAGGAGAAAATCTACCACTTCGTGCTTCATGGTGAATTCGACATGGAGGAAATCGCAAACGGAACCTGCGTATGGCACTCCCTTAATCCCTTAAGAAATGACATCGCAATGTTGACACTACGTTCAGCCAGTGTTGGACTTCAGCGTTCATCAGTGAATTGCGATAAGCGACATTTACATATTGAATTGATGTCAGATGCAATGCCCTCGCAACGCTGGGAAGGTTAAAAATTAGCGTTCAGATGAGATCATTCGGTGAAAAATTGAAGACTATCGATTATCGACCAGATCGATCAGCGGAGGAAGAATCATTTCATCCTCTCAAGCAAGAAGAGACTACGACCTTTCGCTAAATTTGGGAATAATAATTAGCATTTCTCGTCACGGAATCTGGGAACATCTCAAAAGTCCCGCGAGAATGTTTGCGTCTTACAGGTAGCGTGAAAGAAATCTTCAGTCCCTCAGTGGTCTGCAACAATTCTCAGCTGTAACAGCCTGCTTTCGGAAGCAACCTTTCCACTAGGGCTTGGGGCATGTGCAAGACATAAAATTCGATGAGTTTTCAAGTTGGGTCATATTAGGTCTTTGAGAGGATCTAGTGGATTCCAATACATTCCCTTGGGATTATTGTGGCTCCATGTTGGAAATTATGTGCCCAATTAGACTTACGAGATCCCTATTGCAACCATACAGATACGAAAGAAAGCCTAATCTATTCCTACGGATTCCTATGGGACTCTTTCGTAAGGGTTTGCATCGTTCCCG